ATTCTCAGCTCCCTGAGGATCATAAGTTTAAACAAAACGTTCTGTTGATTGCGACTGGGATGAGAAAAGGCAGCACTACGGTCACGATCGAGGTGACATTTGTTTTGAATGGGTGTGTATATTTAAAGTGCGCGTCTTGTGGTATTCATTCATGCTAAAATATAAATGAAAATGTTAACATTATAAACATTTTATAACCATTGCTCTTAGCTATCACCTACCTTAAAGTGAATTGTATGTATTTTTTTGTTATCTGCTTTTGGTTAATTACAGGTCATTTATGAGTTGATCTAACTTACTTTCAGATGTACTCTTCACATATTGGAAGGAATAAAATATGTCTGTCTGTCTGTGTGTCAGGTATCCACGTGTTAGGTATCCACGTGTGTCAGGTATCCACGTGTGTCAGGTATCCACGTGTGTCAGGTACCCATGTTTGTCAGAAATACACGTGTGTAAGGTATCCACGTGTGTCAGATATCCGCGATATCCGCGAGATATCTGACAAACGTGGATACCTGACACACGTGGACACCTGACACACGTGGATGCCTGACAGACATAGATACCCGACACACATGGATACCTGACAAACGTGGATGCATGACAAACGTGGATACCTGACACACATGCATACCTGACACACGTGGATGCATGACAAACGTGGATACCTGACACACATGGATACCTGACACACATAGCTACCTGACACACGTTGATACCTGACACACGTGGATGCATGACAAACGTGGATACCTGACACACGAGGATACCTCACAAACGTGGATACCTGACACACGTGGATACCTGACACACATGGATACATGACACACATGGATACCTGAAACATGTGGATACTTGACACACATGGATACCTGACAAACGTGGATACCTGACACACGAGTATACCTGACACACGTGGATACCTGACACACAAGGATACCTGAAACACATGGATACCTGACACACGTGGATACCTGACACACATGGATACCCGACACACATGGATACCTGACACACGTGGATGCATGACAAACGTGGATACCTGACACACGTGGATACCTGAAACACGTGGATACCTGACACACATAGCTACCTGATACACGTGGATACCTGACACATAGCTACCTGACACACGCTGATACCTGACACACGTATATACCTGACACACGTGGATACCTAACACACATGGATACCTGACACACGTGGATACCTGACACACATGGATACCTGACACACTTGGATACATCACACACATAGCTACCTGACACACGTGGATACCTGACACACATAGCTACCTGACACACGTTGATACCTGACACACATAGACACCTGATACACGTTGATACCTGACACACATATATACCTGACACACGTGGATACCTGACACACATAGCTACCTGACAAACGTGGATACCTGACACACGTGGATACCCGACACACACAGCTACCTCACAAACGTGGATACCTGCCACACGTGGATACCTGACACACATGGATACCTGAAACATGTGGATACCTGACACACGGTGATACCTGACAAACGTGGATACCTGACAAACGTGGATATCTGACAAACGTGGATACCTGACACACGTGGATATCTGACATACGTGGATATCTGACAAACGTGGATACCTGACACACGTGGACACCTGTCAGACATAGATACCTGACACACATGGATACCTGACACACGTGGATGCATAACAAACGTGGATACCTGACACACGTGGATACTTGACACACGTGGATACCTGACACACATAGCTACCTGATACACGTGGATACCTGACACATAGCTACCTAAAAAACGTTGATACCTGAGAAACGTGGATACCTGACACACGTGGATACCTGACAAACGTGGATACCTGACACACATGGATACCTGACACACATGGATACCTGACACACGTGGATACATAACACACATAGCTACCTGACACACGTGGATACCTGACACACATAGCTACCTGACACACGTTGATACCTGACATACGTGGATACCTGACACACATGGATACCTGACACATGTGGATACATCACACACATAGCTACATGACACACGTGGATACCTGACACACGTGGATACCTCATACACATAGTTACCTGACACACGTTGATCCCTGACACACATAGATACCTGACACACGTGGATACCTGACAAACATAGATAACCTGACACACGTGGATACCCGACACACGTGGATATCCGACACACATAGATACCTGTTAAACGTGGATACCTGACACACGTGGATACCCGACACACATAGCTACCTGACAAATTTGGACACCTGCCACACGTGGATACCTGACACACATGGATACCTGACACACATGGATACCTGAAACATGTGGATACCTGACACACATGGATACCTGACACACGTGGATACCTGACACACGTGGATACCTGATACACAGAGTTACCTGACAAACGTGGATACCTGACACACGTGGATACCTGACACACATGGATACCTGACACACATAGATACCTGACACACTTCGATACCTAACACACATAGATACCTGCCACACGTGGATACCTGACACACATAGATACCTGACACACGTGGATACCCGACACACGTGGATATCCGACACACATAGATACCTGACAAACGTGGATACCTGACACACGTGGATACCCGACACACATAGCTACCTGACAAACGTGGATACCTGACACACGTGGATACCTGACACACATGGATACCTGACACACATGGATACCTGAAACATGTGGATACCTGACACACATGGATACATGACATACGTGGTTATCTGACAAACGTGGATACCTGACACACGTGGACACCTGACACACGTGGATGCATGACAAACGTGGATACCTGACACACGTGGATACCTGACACACACAGCTACCTGACACACGTGGATACCTGACACACATAGCTACCTGATACACGTTGATACCTGACACACGTCGATACCTGACACACGTGGATACCTGACACACATGGATACCTGACACAAGTTGATACCTGACACACATAGATACCTGACACACATGGATACCTGACACACGTGGATGCATAACAAACGTGGATACCTGACACACAAAGCTACCTGACACACGTGGATACATGACACACATAGCTACCTGACACACAAAGCTACCTGACACACGTGGATACCTGATACACATGGATACCTGACACACGTGGATACATGACACACATAGCTACCTGACACACGTGGATACCTGACACACATACATACCTGACACACGTTGATACCTGACACACGTGGATACCTTACACACATGGATACCTGACACACTTGGATAAATCACACACATAGCTACCTGACAAACGTGGATACCTGACACACGTGGATACCCGACACACATAGCTACCTGACAAACGTGGATACCTGACACACGTGGATACCTGACACACATGGATACCTGACACACATGGATACCTGAAACATGTGGATACCTGACACACATGGATACATGACACACGTGGTTATCTGACAAACGTGGATACCTGACACACGTGGACACCTGACACACGTGGATGCATGACAAACGTGGATACCTGACACACGTGGATACCTGACACACACAGCTACCTGACACACGTGGATACCTGACACACATAGCTACCTGATACACGTTGATACCTGACACACGTCGATACCTGACACACGTGGATACCTGACACACATGGATATCTGACACAAGTTGATATCTGACACACATAGATACCTGACACACATGGATACCTGACACACGTGGATGCATAACAAACGTGGATACCTGACACACGTGGATACCTGACACACGTGGATACCTGACACACAAAGCTACCTGACACACGTGGATACATGACACACATAGCTACCTGACACACAAAGCTACCTGACACACGTGGATACCTGACACACGTGGATACCTGATACACATGGATACCTGACACACGTGGATACATGACACACATAGCTACCTGACACACGTGGATAACTGACACACGTTGATACCTGACACACGTTGATACCTGGCACACGTTGATACCTTACACACATGGATACCTGACACACTTGGATAAATCACACACATAGCTACCTGATACACGTGGATACCTGACACACGGGGATACCTGACACACATAGCTACCTGATACACGTTGATACCTGACACACATAGATACCTGACACACGTGGATACCTGACAGACATAGATACATGACACACCGTGATACCTGACACATATGGATACCTGACACACGTGGATACGTGACAGACATAGATACCTGACAGACATGGATACCTGACACACATGGATGCATAACAAACGTGGATACCTGACACACGTGGATACCTGACACACATAAGTACCTGACACACGTTGACACCTGACACACGTGGATACCTGGCACACGTGCATACCTGGCACACGTGGATACCTGACACACGTGGACACCTGATACACGTGGATGCATGACAAACGTGGATACCTGACACACATGGATACCTGACACACGTGGATACCTGGCACACGTGGATACCTGACACACGTGGACACCTGATACACGTGGATGCATGACAAACGTGGATACCTGACACACATGGATACCTGACACACGTGGATACCTGATACACGTGGATACCTGACAAACGTGGACACCTGATACACGTGGATGCATGACAAACGTGGATACCTGACACACATGGATACCTGATACACGTGGATGCATGACAAACGTGGACACCTGATACACGTGGATGCATGACAAACGTGGACACCTGATACACATGGATACCTGACACACGTGGATACCTGGCACACGTGGATACCTGACACACGTGGATGCATGACAAACATGGATACCTGACACACGTGGATAAATACGATAAGTACATGTCCTTCGTCGCAGAAGAAGTTGTAAAGAGAGCAGAAGTCGACAAGAATATTCCCAAAGACCAAAGGCTTGCTTTAAAAGAGAGTTTTATTAACAGTTCCCAGATGGATGCTGAAGTGACCCAGGAGCACCTCGGGATGCAGTTGACTTACATGGATGATTTCTTGACGCGAAGTTTCAGGCAGAGAATCCTGCAGCTAGACACAAAATGGGAGAAAAGTAAGTATTGTGGCGTTTCGATTCCCAAATGGAAACAATATGTTAACCCAGAAATTTGTACTTAAAAGAACTTCGTGTGAAACCAGCACGTGGTATAAATCAACAAATGTATTACAAAAATGATCTAGGTATACAAATCAATACAAACTACCGCACAGCAATAACAATTGCAGTACACAATAAAGTGGTAGTACCATATCCAATGGCCATGTATAACTTGATGGCAGTGGTCGTACCAAATAATAGCAAAAGTCAGTGTTAATAAGATATATTCACCCAGCGGCGACAATGGTCAAGCTTCCGAGATGGACACGGCAGGGAAACAGGGCTGATGAGCGATCCTCACATGAAAGCTGGTTTCAAAGTTATGAAATGCGTGAAAGATGAAATGTGTGAACGAATGCGTGAGAGATACGTAAACACGCTCCTATATACCTATGATTGTGGGTTCGAATCCCGGTTCGCGCCGATTATGTTTCTAGGTTTGTCAGCACCATACCCGTGGCTCCTGGGTTTCACCGAGGTGGTAAATGTCTGAGACCTGCATCACTTCGGGCTTTCCTCCCACATTAAGCTGACACGCCGCCATATAACTGTAATAATGTTAAAAGCGGCGTTAAACCCAACTCACTCACTATATCTACAGCCTAACAAGATACTGGAAGTTTCTATACCGTGCCCTCACCAGTCTAGCAGCATAAGAACATTACAGAACTATCCATATATTTATATGACATACTATCACCGTCCGCAGCATACGACCCGCACTTTCTTACGACTGGTCACTGCCCAAACCAAATGCAACGAGCGTCTATCGAATCTCAAAAGAAATAATGTTAACACAGTTACAATCATTGTTTAGCAATAAAATACACTGTTATATATCAAAACACAAAAACATGTTGACATTATCTCATAAGTATACATAAGTATAAGCTTAAACTAATGTCTGAATGATCTTAACATTTTCTTCTTAATAGGTGACGTTTCCAATATGTCTGTAATAGAAGATGTCCACGGGAGAGCCATCAAGGAACTCTGGCAATCACTTACTCGAGACTTGAGAATGGAAGGGACATTACTTCTTGATAATCTTGAACAACAAGGTGCCCTATCAGCAGCCGGTAGGGCCAGTATCCTTGCCTCCTCTGGCAACCAGAAACAAAATCGTTCCTTTTTGAAGTTTTGTAATACATTTTCATCTTCAAAATTTAAGTCAGCGGTTATCCCAGCAATGAAAGAAAGCAAAGATTCCACAAACTATCAGTTGGCGTGCGACATGGAAGACGCAATGTCACGCTATGAAACAGATGGAAAAAACAAATCCATCTGTTCATATTGTAAGATGAAGGACAAAGTAAACCTCCGAAGATTGGCAGACGCACTCATGGAATACAAATCTATAAGTGTCCCAACATATGAGGATTTAGCTTCATCATCCCTCAGTCACGAGGATAAGTGGGAAACAATTAGAAAGATGCGGAAACCGAAATCGTTTTCGCGTGCATTAAAAAAGAAATATCAAGAATTATATTTTGAGATAAAATGGAATCCTGAAGCCCTAATGCTAGGGTGTGTGTGTACAACAGGCACTGAGACCGCTACCGAAGAAGATATGGAGGTTGACAAAGTGTCAGATATTGCACGAATGTCAGATTTCTCAGGCGACACTGATTCCACCCCCAAACCGAAGGTAAACATTGATTCCGGCTCGTTCCGAAAACCGCGGGTGAAGTGATTTCAATTCTGGGTATGGAATTCTGAGTTGGATATTGGGCCATGTTCAGATATATCCATGTCTGATCAATATTTGTCAAAAAGCCAATTTCTTTCCACTCATTTACTCCACTGAGTTAAAGATAAGAGAGACCAGTGACAGATTCAGAGTGACAAAACACTCTCCACAAGACGTGTGACAAAAGGAATGAATTCAACTTTCCAATGCTCCAAGAGCTCCTGCCTTTGGTGTCTACATTTCACAACTTTTGAGATACAATCGAACATAGACTTTCTGCGAAGATTTCAAAGATCGTCTGATCAAGCTTAAACACAAGGGCTTAGTAAGAAACTTTCTACAAGTGGAAGCCTCAAGTTATTTCGAGCATGCTCTTTCTACCAAGATTTCAAACAGCGTCATATATACTCTTGCTACAAAGTTGTGTGATCCAGGTTACAACATTCAATGCCTCAGTGAAGCATTATGGCACAATACAGGATTACAAAAATGATGTGCGTAACTCTCTATAGTGACATGAACCGTATGTTTCCCGTGTTTGTCAACAAATTGACTTGCCTTTGCATGTGTTTTCGACGGGTGCCACCGATGGGGCAGGATACGCTCACCTGTCAGCGAACACATTGTATCATCACTATTTTGGGGTGATTCATAAACTCATGCTCATGATACAGTCGGAATCATACAATCGACTCTGCTTTTAACATATATTCCTTTTGTCTGTGGACAGGTTGTTGTCGCTTTTATCATGATGATTTTTATATACAGTCCGCTTGGCTCCAAACCTTCTTCTTGTGGCGGCATATCATGGTATTCATCTTCAATATATTTACAGTTTTCGGACAAACAGAAATAACAGTTCATTATGTGTGGTAAAACTGTGTCTCCCAAGTTTCAGATTTAAACGGAAGTTATGACATAGACACTTCGTAATATATATCTTAACGTAATGTGGAATGTCATATGTTAAAAATGTTCTGTGTTCAATATAGAATTGTACTGGACATAGTAATTACATTGCGTAGAACATTCCATTAAAGAATGCCATTTTTATACAGCTTATCTAATAGACTTTGCTGAACTTTGCTGAAATTCATTTAGGAATAATGTTATAACTGCCGATTTCTTGCTGTCACCAGGCCAGTCCCAAATCTAACCTGAACAAAATGTTTTAAAATGATGTAGAGGGAGTCTATCAAACTCACCAAGTACTATATTATTAGGTGTATTTTTATAGAGTGGAAGATACCGTTTACAGAATTAATTTGTTGTACAATGTTCAGCTCCGTAACACAAGACCGGAATGACTACACTCTCAAATGTTCTAACATTTTAGATGACATACTTGATTTGGCCAATTTTGAAAAGTCTTCACATATTATTTAAATGATTCTTGTTTTATAATTTATTGCAAACATTTTGTAACGATACATTGTATATGATTGTCAATTTTTGGTTTCGCCTTACCCTTTTGTATGCCATGTTGTATGTCCTGACTTATTATATATGCATCCTCTTGGGATTCCCTAACGGTTGCCTAAAGAGCTTGTAAATACAGCGACATTATAGCTTCCCCTTCTGTGATGCAAAATGAATATATATTTCTTAAACATTGTTGTTGTCTTCTCTTATAAGTAGCATAATCTCTGAACGTGTACATAGTACACAGCAGTCGTAATTCATAATTAACATATTTGTTTAGTTCACTAAAATCACTGTGTGACTGTACCATTACTTGGTTGTCTGGGTTGTTTACGTGAAGTGAGTGAGTGAGTGGTATGGTATGGTATCGGGTGCGTTGGTGTGTGGTGGGGCGGTGTTAGTTAGCTCGCTAGTAAATATTTAATGTACATTTTAAAGTAAAGATGGAATGAAATAGGGGCTATTTGCAGCAACGTAGATTTTGCAGTTACTGCTATGAAAATGAAACTGGTCAGTGCTGTAATCTACTGATGTTCTGAGCTGTGAACTCGTCTACCCAGGGTTCATTACGGTCAACATTGTATATCTGACCCGGCAACGTCAGGTACGTCTGCACATTCAGATAACATTATTGTTGTTGTTTGTTTGTTTGTTGTTTAACGCCGCATCCGGCGATATTACAGCTATATGATGGCGGTCTGTAAATAATCAAATCTGGACCAGACAATCAAGTGACTGATATCATGAGCATCGATCCACGCAAATGAATCAGCGCGCCTGATATTAAATATGTCATGAAATGGTTCCCTTTCAAAACAGGGCTGCAAATACAGACATCGAATCCACATGGACAGCGTGCAGTAAAGGAAGTGGCAGTCGCGTAATGTCAACACGACACTGCGCCATGACACGTGCGCAAAACTACAGTGACCTGTCACCATCTAGACGACCACACACAGAACTAACAGAGAACACAGAGCAAGCCGAGAACACACAGAACAACCCGAGAACACACAGAACAAACCGAGAACACACAGAACAAACCGAGAATACAAAGAACAACCCGAGAACACACAGAGCAAGCCGAGAACACAAAGAACAACCCGAGAACACACAGAACAACCCGAGAATACGCTGAACTAAAATAGAACACACAGAGCAAACCGAGAACACAAAGAACAACCCGAGAACACACAGAACAAACCGAGAACACACAGAACAACCCGAAAACAGACTGAACTAAAAGAGAACACACAGAGCAAACCGAGAATACACAGAACAACCCGAGAACACACAGAACAAACCGAGAACACACAGAACAACCAGAAAACAGACTGAACGAAAAGAGAACACACAGAGCAAACCGAGAATACACAGAACAACCCGAGAACACACAGAGCAAGCCGAGAACACAAAGAACAACCCGAGAACACACAGAACAACCCGAGAATACGCTGAACTAAAATAGAACACACAGAGCAAACCGAGAACACAAAGAACAACCCGAGAACACACAGAACAAACCGAGAAGACACAGAACAACCCGAAAACAGACTGAACTAAAAGAGAACACACAGAGCAAACCGAGAATACACAGAACAAATCGAAAACAGAGTGAACTAAAAGAGAACACACAGAGCAAACCCAGAACAACCCGAGAACACACAGAACAAACCGAGAACACACAGAACAACCCGAAAACAGACTGAACGAAAAGAGAACACACAGAGCAAACCGAGAATACACAGAACAACCCGAGAACACACAGAACAAACCGAGAACACACAGAACAACCCGAAAACAGACTGAACTAAAAGAGAACACACAGACCAATCCGAGAACACACAGAACAACCCGAAAACACACAGAGCAAAGCGAAAACACACAGAACAACCCGAAAACAGACTGAACTAAAAGAGAACACACAGAGGAAACCGAGAACACACAGAACAATCCGAGAACAAACAGAGTAAATCGAAAACACACACATCAAGCCGAGAACACACAGAACAACCCGAGAACACACAGAGTAACCCGAGAACACACAGAGCAAACCGAGAACAACCCGAGAACACACAGAACAAACCGAGAACACACAGAACAACACGAAAACAGAGTGAACTAAAAGAGAACACACAGAGCAAACACAGAACAACCCGAGAACACACAGAACAAACCGAGAACACACAGAACAACCCGAAAACAGACAGAACTAAAAGAGAACACACAGAGCAAACCGAGAACACACATAACAACCCGAGAACACACAGAACAACCCGAAAACACACAGAGCAAAGCGAGAACACACAGAACAACCCGAAAACAGACTGAACTAAAAGAGAACACACAGAGGAAACCGAGAACACACAGAACAAACCGAGAACACACAGAACAACCCGAAAACAGACTGAACTAAAAGAGAACACACAGAGGAAACCGAGAACACACAGAACAATCCGAGAACACACAGAACAACCCGAGAATACACAGAACAACCCGAGAACACACAGAGTAACCCGAGAATACACAGAACAACCCGAGAACACACAGAGTAACCCGAGAATACACAGAACAACCCGAGAACACACAGAACAACCCGAGAACACACAGAACAACCCGAGAACACACAGAACAAACCGAGAACACACAGAACAACCCGAAAACACACAGAACAAACCGAGAACACACAGAACAACCCGAAAACAGACTGAACTAAAAGAGAACACACAGAGCAAACCGAGAACAACCCGAGAACACACAGAACAAACCGAGAACACACAGAACAACCTGAAAACAGACTGAACTAAAAGAGAACACACAGAGCAAACCGAGAACACACAGAACAACCCGAAAACACACAGAGCAAAGCGAGAACACACAGAACAAACCGAAAACAGACTGAACTAAAAGAGAACACACAGAGGAAACCGAGAACACACAGAACAAACCGAGAACACACAGAACAACCCGAAAACAGACTGAACTAAAAGAGAACACACAGAGGACACCGAGAACACACAGAACAACCCGAAAACAGACTGAACTAAAAGAGAACACACAGAGGAAACCGAGAACACACAGAACAACCCGAAAACACACAGAGCAAAGCGAGAACACACAGAACAAACCGAAAACAGACTGAACTAAAAGAGAACACACAGAGTAACCCGAGAAAACACAGAACAACCCGAGAACACACAGAACAATCCGAGAACACAGAGAACAAACCGAGAACACACAGAACAACCCGAAAACACACAGAACAAACCGAGAACACACAGAACAACCCGAAAACAGACTGAACTAAAAGAGAACACACAGAGCAAACCGAGAACAACCCGAGAACACACAGAACAAACCGAGAACACACAGAACAACCTGAAAACAGACTGAACTAAAAGAGAACACACAGAGGAAACCGAGAACACACAGAACAACCCGAAAACACACAGAGGAAAGCGAGAACACACAGAACAAACCGAAAACAGACTGAACTAAAAGAGAACACACAGAGGAAACCGAGAACACACAGAACAATCCGAGAACACACAGAGGAAATCGAAAACACACAGATCAAGCCGATAACACACAGAACAACCCGAGAACACACAGAGTAACCCGAGAACACACAGAGCAAACCGAGAACAACCCGTGAACACACAGAACAAACCGAGAACACACAGAACAACCCGAAAACAGAGTGAACTAAAAGAGAACACACAGAGCAAACCCAGAACAACCCGAGAACACACAGAACAAACCGAGAACACACAGAACAACCCGAAAACAGACTGAACTAAAAGAGAACACACAGAGCAAACCGAGAACACACAGAACAACCCGAGAACACACAGAACAACCCGAAAGCACACAGAGCAAAGCGAGAACACACAGAACAACCCGAAAACAGACTGAACTAAAAGAGAACACACAGAGGAAACCGAGAACACACAGAACAATCCGAGAACACACAGAACAACCCGAGAACACACAGAGTAACCCGAGAACACACAGAGCAAAGCGAGAACACACAGAACAATCCGAGAACACACAGAGCAAAGCGAGAACACACAGAACAAACCGAGAATACACAGAGCAAAACGAAAACACAGAGCAAACCGAGAACACACAGAACAATCCGAGAACACACAGAATAACCCGAGAACACACAGAACAAACCGAGAACACACAGAGCAAAGCGAGAACACACAGAACAAACCGAGAACACACAGAGCAAAACGAAAACACAGAGCAAACCGAGAACACACAGAACAAACCGAGAACACACAGAACAATCCGAGAACACACAGAATAACCCTAGAACACACAGAACAAACCGAGAACACACAGAGCAAAGCGAGAACACACAGAACAAACCGAGAACACACAGAGCAAAACGAAAACACAGAGCAATCCGAGAACACACTGAACAAACCGAGAACACACTGAACAAACCGAGAACACACAGAGTAAATCGAGAACACACAGAACAAACCGAGAACACACTGAACAAACCCAGAACACACAGAGCAAACCGAGAACGCACGGAGCAAACCGAGAAAACACAGGGAACACACAGTTATTTGCATTAGGCAGTGACGATTAACACCTTTATATTTGGTGGTATTTGTCCTGACAACAACATATATGTGAATTATCATATGTGCCGGTATGTCTGACATACTCACCATGGTTGAATGTTATATGATAGTTAAACTGTAACGTTTTATGTAGTAGAAGAAAACATAAGTAATCTTGTGATAACCTTTTCGCCTCATCTTGCAACATATAACGCCACCGCATTGGAAAGTCCAGTACTTAAAATACACCAAACCTGGTTTTCCCAAGCTAAAGATAGACGTGACACTGATAACACGTGACTTAGTTGTCGGGGTCTTGATAATTTGCAAACCAACAAACAGTTTTAAAAGTTTGTAAATAATATTTTAAAGGTAACATTTTGTTATCATAAGTCATGGCACCGGTTTATTACAAATACACTGCTGGCCTCAATAAGAAACGAAACAAGGGATGAACCAGACAATCCAGTGATTGACATCATGGGCATCGATCCACGCAATTTGGATACGATGACATGCATCAACCAAGTCAGCGAGCCTGGCCACCCGATTCCGTTCAGTCTAGTGTGTGTGTCCGTTCGGTCTGCTGTGTGTGTCCGTTCAATCTCTTGTGTGTGTTCGTTAATTCTACTCTGTCTCCTGTAAGAGGACAGGGGACCATAGCCAGAACAGCATAGAACACAGGACAGAACGTACGGAACATGCCACAGAAGGGACAGAAGGGACAGAAGGGACTCACAGAAGGGACTCACAGAAGGAACTCACAGAAGAGACGCACAGAGGGACTCACAGAAGGGACTCACGGAAGAAACACAGAGCACACATGGGGGACAGAAGACACATAGGGGACAGAGGAGACGTAGGGACAGAGGACCACATAGGGAAAAGAGGACAACATAGGGGACAGAGGACCGCATAGGGAACAGAGGACCACATACGGGACAGAGACCACATAGGGGACATAGGATCATATAGGGGACAGAGGACCACATAGGGGACAGAGGACACATAGGGGACAGAGGACACATAGGGGACAGAGGACCACATATGGGACAGAGCACATGTAGGGGACAGAAGACACATAGGGGACATAGGACCACATAGGACACAGAGGACACATAGGGGACAGAGGACACATAGGGGACAGAGGACACATAGGGGACATAGGACACATAGGGGACATAGGACACATAGGGGATATAACACATAGGGGACAGAGACCACATAGGGGACAGAGCACATGTAGGGGACAGAAGACACATAGGGGACATAGGACCACAGAGGACACATAGGGGACAGAGGACACATAGGGGACAGAGGACACATAGGGGACATAGGACACATAGGGGATATAACACATAGGGGACAGAGACCACATAGGGGACAGAGCACATGTAGGGGACAGAGGACCACATAGGGGACATAGCACACGTAGGGGACAGAGGACAACATAGGGGACAGATGACACATAGGGGAGAGAACACATAGGGGACAGAGGACCACATAGGGGACAGAGCACATGTAGGGGACAGAGGACTACATAGGGGACAGAGCACACGTAGGGGACAGAGGACAACATAGGGGACAGAGGACACATAGGGGAGAGAACACATGGGGACAGAGGACCACATGGGGGACAGAAGACACATAGGGGACAGAGGACACATAGGGGACAGAGGACACATAGGACACAGAGGACACCATGGGGGACAGAGGACACATAGGGGACATAGGACACATAGGGGACATAAAGGACAGAGGACACATAGGGGACATAGGACACAGAGGACACATAGGGGACATAGGACACATAGGGGACATAGGACACATAGGGGACATAGGACACATAGGACACATAAAGGACAGAGGACACATAGGGCCATAGGACACAGAGGACACATAAGGGACAGAGGACATGTAGGGGACAGAGGACAACATAGGGGGCAGAGGAACACATAGGGGACAGAGGACACATAGGGGACAGAGGACACATAGGACACAGAGGACACCATGGGGGACAGAGGACACATAGGGGACATTGGACACAGAGGACACATAAAGGACAGAGGACACATAGGGGACATAGGACACATAGGGGACATAGGACACATAGGACACATAAAGGACAGAAGACACATAGGGGACATAGGACACATAGGGGACATAGGACACAGAGGACACATAGGGGACATAGGACACATAGGGCCATAGGACACATAGGGGACATAGGACACAGAGGACACATAGGGGACATAGGACACATAGGGGACATAGGACACATAGGGGACATAGGACACATAGGACACATAAAGGACAGAGGACACATAGGGCCATAGGACACAGAGGACACATAAGGGACAGAGGACATGTAGGGGACAGAGGACAACATAGGGGGCAGAGGAACACATAGGGGACAGAGGACACATAGGGGACAGAGGACACATAGGGGACAGAGGACACATAGGGGACATAGGACACATAGGGGATATAACACATAGGGGACAGAGACCACATAGGGGACAGAGCACATGTAGGGGACAGAGGACCACATAGGGGACATAGCACACGTAGGGGACAGAGGACAACATAGGGGACAGATGACACATAGGGGAGAGAACACATAGGGGACAGAGGACCACATAGGGGACAGAGCACATGTAGGGGACAGAGGACTACATAGGGGACAGAGCACACGTAGGGGACAGAGGACAACATAGGGGACAGAGGACACATAGGGGAGAGAACACATGGGGACAGAGGACCACATGGGGGACAGAAGACACATAGGGGACAGAGGACACATAGGGGACAGAGGACACATAGGACACAGAGGACACCATGGGGGACAGAGGACACATAGGGGACATTGGACACAGAGGACACATAAAGGACAGAGGACACATAGGGGACATAGGACACATAGGGGACATAAAGGACAGAGGACACATAGGGGACATAGGACACAGAGGACACATAGGGGACATAGGACACATAGGGGACATAGGACACATAGGGGACATAGGACACATAGGACACATAAAGGACAGAGGACACATAGGGCCATAGGACACAGAGGACACATAAGGGACAGAGGACATGTAGGGGACAGAGGACAACATAGGGGGCAGAGGAACACATAGGGGACAGAGGACACATAGGGGACAGAGGACACATAGGACACAGAGGACACCACGGGGGACAGAGGACACATAGGGGACATTGGACACAGAGGACACATAAAGGACAGAGGACACATAGGGGACATAGGACACATAGGGGACATAGGACACATAGGACACATAAAGGACAGAAGACACATAGGGGACATAGGACACATAGGGGACATAGGACACATAGGGGACATAGGACACATAGGACACATAAAGGACAGAAGACACATAGGGGACATAGGACACATAGGGGACATAGGACACAGAGGACACATAGGGGACATAGGACACATAGGGCCATAGGACACATAGGGGACATAGGACACAGAGGACACATAGGGGACAGAGGACACATAGGGCCATAGGACACATAGGGGACATAGGACACATAGGACACATAAAGGACAGAGGACACATAGGGGACATAGGACACATAGGGGACATAGGACACATAGGACACATAGGGGACATAGGACACATAGGGGACATAGGACACATAGGACACATAGGGGACATAGGACACATAGGGGACATAGGACACATAGGACACATAAAGGACAGAGGACATGTAGGGGACAGAGGACAACATAGGGGGCAGAGGAACACATAGGGGACAGAGGACACATAGGGGACAGAGGACACATAGGACACAGAGGACACCATGGGGGACAGAGGACACATAGGGGACATTGGACACAGAGGACACATAAAGGACAGAGGACACATAGGGGACATAGGACACATAGGGGACAGAGGACAACATAGGGGGCAGAGGAACACATATGGGACAGAGCACATGTAGGGGACAGAGGACCACATAGGGGACATAGCACACGTAGGGGACAGAGGACAACATAGGGGACAGAAGACACATAGGGGACAGAGCACATGTAGGGGACAGAGGACAACATAGGGGACAGAAGACACATAGGGGAGAGAACACATAGGGGACAGAGGACACATAGGGGACAGAGGACACATAGGGGACAGAGGACACATAGGGGACATATGACACAGAGGACACATAAGGGGCAGAGGACACATAGGGGACAGAGGAGCACATAGGGGACAGAGGACACACAGTGTTTCTTCGTCTGTCAGCACATACCTGATTTCACCAAGTGGGCAACATCCACCACACACAAGTCTACCTCCCACATCCACCACACACAGGCCATCCTCCCACATCCACCACACACAGGCCTTCCTCCTACATCCACCACACACAAGTCTACCTCCCACATCCACCACACACAAGTCTACCTCCCACATCCACCACACACAAGTCTACCTCCCACATCCACCACACACAAGTCTACCTCCCACATCCACCACACACAGGCCTACCTCCCACATCCACCACACACAAGTCTACCTCCCACATCCACCACACACAAGTCTACCTCCCACATCCACCACACACAAGTCTTCCTCCCACATCCACCACACACAAGTCTACCTCCCACATCCACCACACACAGGCCATCCTCCCACATCCACCACACACAAGTCTACCTCCCACATCCACCACACACAAGTCTACCTCCCACATCCACCACACACAAGTCTTCCTCCCACATCCACCACACACAGGCCTTCCTCCCACATCCACCACACACAGGCTTTCCTCCCATATCTAGCCGACACGCTGGGGTACTACTGTAACACTGCTCAAAGAGGCATCACACACATCTCACTCACTCACTCTCTCACTCACTGACTTGACTGGAGAGGGAAGTCAGCCTGTGTTACGATGCGATGATGAATATACCACAAACATGAACTCACTATCTTCATTGATCACAAAACCAGAATCTTCAGTTACAACCTGCTACAGCTATTTTTCACATTTACACATATTCATATATGGAAAATACATCATGGTACTAAGTATATGAAAACAACATTTTATCTGAATGCTTCCAGTCAGCACAATCATCGTACATGTAAGAGAACAAAACACAACTGATTTATTTACACTGGTCTACAAAGTACATTGCATGTTTATCACAAAGGATGTATGTGAAACAGTTAAGTGGGGACAACAAAGGTCAAGGTAAGACACTCAGAATTTAAAACTAGTTGTCACCGAAAGTACGACACCATCACACTTTGAGTGAGTTGTGATTTCGTAAAGCCCAGTGACCAAACGGGAGATTGAGTGTTCCATCGTGCATTGCATCCTGACAGGCTGATACAGTAGTGTATTTTGCCAACTTGCCATAATGTTTCTCCTGTTTGTTTCAACAAGTCACTACTGAACTGTTTTGCGTGTATCTCAGTATTCTCCAAATCACTTTCGACATCCGATAACCTTGCAATATGTGCCCTTGACTCATTATCAGTTTCTTCGTGTGTGTTTACAGTGGTGCTAACATCCTCACACGAGCAACACAGTGCACTGAACGGTGTCCATCGCACATCTTGGTAAAGTTCAGGATATTTCTTCTTCAGAGACAATGCAAACTGTTTTGTTTTTTTCACCAGTTGTTTCCTTTTTTTATCATGTGACAGGTAGGGGGATGACAGGTCTTCCCTCTGCTGATCCGATATGGCATTCATCTGATACATAACGTCAGCCAGTCTGCGAAGATTCACCCTACTCCGGATACTACAGAACTTGCAGAGAGATCGCTTTGAATCGTGAACAATTTGAGGCAGGAGGGACAATTCCCTTTCAATTTCACACGCTAACTGTGTGTTCACTTCATCATTGCATGCCTTTAGAGCAGGAACAATTGTTGCCGTGAATTGTGAAGAAGTACAGCCATTGCAAAACTTCAGGAAAGCTGCGTTCTTTGCATGAGTAGACGGGTGAGTGAGAATACTGCTCCTGCCTGCCTCAGACAGGACATCTTCTTGAAGTAGCCTGTCAAGAATATGGGTTCCCTCTAGCCGCAGATCATTGGTGAGCACAGGTGATAGCTTCTTGATTACAGTGGCATGATTGCCGGTTGTCGCAGGGTCGGGATCTGAAGATGTTAGAATGAGTTTGTATGACAACCAGATTGAATTGGTTTATGAAAGTACATATGTTTGAATTTGAATGACGATGTTGATTATAGAGATACAAAAAAGGGTGTTGTGATAATAGTGGGATGTAAAATGAAATAAGCAGTGTTGTATCATGTTTCAGAATCTTCGTGCTGGAGGAGACTGTCAAATCTATACCTTTCATTACGTAGTTTTGCAACCATGGGGAAAGACTTTCTTACTTGCTTGCCTCAGATAAGCGGAGAGCCGCTCCTTAAGTACGTCTGAAGCTAGCTGTGGGTAATGGAGTTGAAGCCAGCTGTGGGTAATGTGGTTGAAGATAATTGTGGGTAATGGGGTTGAAGCCAGCTGTAGGTAATAGGGTTGAAGCTACCTGTTGGTAATGGGGTTGAAGCTAGCTGCGGGTAATGGGGTTGAAGCCAGCTGTGGGTAATGGGGTTGAAGCTAGATGCAGGTAATGGGGTTGAAGCTAGCTGTGGGTAATTGGGTTGAAGATAACTGTGGGTAATGGGGTTGAAGCTAGCTGTGGGTAAAGGGGTTGAAGCCAGCTGTGGGTAATGGGGTTGAAGCTAGCTGTTGGTAATGGGGTTGAAGCTAGATGCAGGTAATGGGGTTGAAGCTAGCTGTTGGTAATTGGGTTGAAGATAACTGTGGGTAATGGGGTTGAAGCTAGATGCAGGTAATGGGGTTGAAGCCAGCTGTGGGTAATTGGGTTGAAACCAGCTGTGGGTAAAGGGGTTGAAGCTAGCTGTCGGTAATGGGGTTGAAGATAACTGTGGGTAATGGGGTTTAAGCTAGATGCGGGTAATGGGGTTGCTGCTAGCTGTGGGTATTGGGGTTGAAGATAACTGTGGGTAATGGGGTTGAAGATAGCTGTCGGTAATGGGGTTTAGGCCAGCTGTGGGTAATGGGGTTGAAACCAGCTGTGGGTAATGGGGTTGAAGATAGCTGTGGGTAATGGGGTTGAAGCCAGCTGCAGATAATGGGGTTGAAACCAGCTGAGGGTAATGGGGTTGAAGCTAGCTGCAGGTAATGGGGTTGAAGATAACTGTGGGTAATGGGGTTGAAGATAGCTGTGGGTAATGGGGGTGAAGCCAGCTGTGGGTAATGGGGTTGAAACCAGCTGAGGGTAATGGGGTTAAAGGTAGCTGCAGGTAATGGGGTTGAAGATAACTGTGGGTAATGGGGTTGAAGCAAGCTGCGGGTAATTGGGTTGAAACTAGCTGCGGGTAATGGGGTTGAAGAATATAGAATATATCGATACATTTTCCTAACATTTCGTTGAGTGAATAACATTCAGTTTTCAACTCGGATGGCTACTTGTCAGCGACATTGGTTCTGGGTGTTGTTTCTTAAATGTGCAATAATGGCACTGTGTTTGTGACTCACCTTCACAAGTTTCACAGTCGAACTCAGCATGCCTCTGTCTGAAACATTGCATCAGGTAGTCATCCATGTGCCCCAATGTCTTCTTCATTGCTTCTATGTTTACTTTAGCCCCATCCTCAGAACGTAGCATCTGCTGCAGTCGATGGGTGTGCTGTTCTAAGCTGGCAATGATGCATGTCTTCAAAATATCCTTATGTCCTGTTGGGTTCTCAGGGAGGAACGACAAACGCGGGAGCAGGGAGACGAGCCTGCCACTTGACCGGCTGTTTATTCAGACTGTCGCATGTTACATAAGAGCACGTGATTGCGCTTACCTGTAACTAATCACATAACAAGAGCGGACATCTGTTGGCCTGTCATAATATTATACACTAGCTAGTTTAAAACTACTGCGTTTCAATTACAGATATTACATCCGCCCCTCCTAAATTTAAGTTACTTTGAAACAAAAGAAATAATCTTTGATAAACAACACAGTCTACGGGACTTCATAAATTATAAGTAACCTAACAATGTACACTGACCCTTGTAAAGTACTAATAACCCTGATAACTTGACAAGTTACAGTCATAATGAAAACATTGTTAAAGTAGAAAGTGAAATTCAACTAAACTGAGTTTTTTTCCGACACATAACAATACTGATAACCTGCTGAAGTATTATAGTCCTGATACAAGTAACTGTAATTCACAGCCATATCAAATGCCACCTTGACACATAGTTCACTGTAAATGACAGTCACAGTTCACTCAAATGTCACTTTGACACAAAGTCCCTCAGATAAGACGGTTGCTGCTTCACTCTGGTTGAACGACGAAGTATGGGTGCTACAGGCGATGTCACTACCGGCGTTTCCTCCCCCGGTTCAGACATATCTGGTACACTTGAAACATTCCCTGGGAAACTTTCCTCATGGGAATCTACCTGTGATGTGTCAGGTAAGTCTGATTCATACTCCTTCCTTCGTGAAGACTGCGATTCTAGCGGAGTGTCTGAACGTTCAATCACGTCCCTCCGGGGTGAAGATAAAGACATCCTGCGTCTGACATGATCCACATGCCTTCTGACCAATCTTCCATCTGTTAACTTGATGATGTACGACAATGGACCAGTTACACTATCAACTTGTCCACTAATCCATTTTGGACCTGAAGCAAAGTTCTTAACCCACACCGAGTCATTCACTTGGAATGCCCTACATTTCGTTAGAGCTGACTGATCTACAAGTTTTCTCTGGTTCTTTTTCACCTTTGAGGTAAGGTTTGGAAACATCAAGTCCAATCGCGAACGCAATCTGCGTCCAAGAAACAACATTGAAGGTGATACACCAGTTGTAGAATGTGGTGTAATTCTATAAGAAAACAGTAACCTATGGAGTTGAGTTGCAACTGTGTCACCAGTTGTCTTCTTTTATCCATCTTTTATTATTTGAACCGCCCTTTCTGCTAAGCCATTCCCAGCCGGGTGATGAGGGGATGTTGTCACATGTTCAACTCCATTTCTGGACATAAATGTAGCAAATTCTTCCCCAACAAAAGCTGTAGCATTATCAGTTACAATAATTTCTGGTATGCCATAAGCTGCAAACATCCGACGCAGCTGGTTTATTGTAGCCTTTGCATTTGACGATGACATAGGTGCACATTCGATCCACTTGGATTAGGCGTCAATCACTATAAGAAACATGCTACCCATGAATGGACCAGCATAATCCATATGCAGTCTTTGCCAAGGTTGAGAAGGATACTCCCAAGGGTGTACGGGAGCTACACTTGGACATTTCCTGTCTTCCTGGCAGGAATCACAACTGTTTACTGTTGTTTCTATGTCAGCATCTAGATGCGGCCACCAAACATAGCTTCGGGCCAAGCCCTTCATCCTGGTGAGTCCTGGGTGGGACTGATGCAACTCTGACAATATGACAGATCTGAGTTTCAATGGAATGATGACCCTCGAACCTCTCAATAAGCATCCATCCATCACACTGAGTTCAGAACGAACTCTGTAGTACGGCTCATAGTGGTCATCCAACTTGTCACGCTGCGGGCAACCTCGGATCACAAATTCTCGAACAATAGACAATGTTCAGTCCTTGCCAGTCTGGATACTTATGTCTGTAGACTTCAGAGGGCACGTGTCCAATTCCTGAAGCATTAAGACTGTCATCCCTTCCATAGGCTTCCCTGAGTCAGGCGCTGGCAACCTGCTCAATGCGTCTGCATTGGTATGCTGTGTACCTTTCCTGTGTACAATTTTATAGTCATATGCAGTCAACAACACTGACCATCTCTGAATTCTTGGAGACACCATCTGTGGCACTGGATTATTCTCATTGAATAATGACACCAACGGCTTGTGATCTGTCACGATCTGGAAATGACGTCCATAAACATAAAACTTATGAAACTTTCGCAGTCCAAAGATCACACTCAGTCCTTCACGATCAAGTTGAGAATAATTCTGCTCCGCCTTAGTCAGTGTCCTTGAAGCAAAACTTATAGGTCTCTCCGAACCATCAAGCAGTTGGTGAGCCAACACAACACCTACTCCGTAGGGGGATGCATCACACTGCAGGAAAAGTGGCTTGGAGCTGTCAAAATGAATCAAGACATCCGAAGACTGAAGCAAGTTCTTCGACTTCTCAAACGCTTTTTGTTGAGATGTACTCCATGACCGTTTCATTTCTTTTTGTAGCAACTTTTACAAGGGGGAGAGAGTGTCTGGCAGATTGGGTAGAAATCTATGGTAGTAGTTCAGAATACCAAGATAAGCTCTCAATTCTTTCACATTTTCAGGGACCTTAGCTTCCTGAATTGCAGCAATCTTTTTCTCCACTGGATGCAAACCTTCACTGTCAAGTCTATAGCCAAGATATTCAACTTCATCAGCCATAAAGACACACTTGTTTCTTCTCAAACGTAGTCCTGCTTCTGACAATCGATGAAGTACTTCATCCAGAATACGAAGATTCTCACTGTCGTCGATTCCAGAGTTCATGATATCGTCGAGATAACCCGCTGAGTAATCGAGTCCCTGTAGTATACTTTCAATCATCCGTTGAAAGATAACGGGTGCCGAAGATACTCCAAATGGCAATCTTGTGTACCTAAAGAGTCCTTTGTGGGTGTTAATCACGACATATTTTCGCGATTCTTCATCCAAGACTAACTGTTGATACGCATGACTCATGTCAAGTTTGGTGAACTTTACACCCCCAGATAGCTTCGTGCACAAATCTTCAACGTCGGTATTGGATATTGCTCCAATTTTGATAACTGATTCACTGTCAGTTTAAAATCTCCACAAATCCTGACAGAAGAATCAGGTTTAATGACTGGCACAATGGGACACGCCCACTCAGAATGCTTGACTGGCTCAATAATGCCTTCACTCAGCAAGCGACCAGTTCAACTTCTATCTTCTGACGTATTGCATACGGCACAGATCTAGGTTTGAAAAACTTCGGAGTTGCATCTTTATCCACGTAGATGTGAGCTTGGAATCCCTCAAGTGTTCCAAGACCTTCCTCAAAAACAGCTGAGTGTCGTTCAAGAACATCATTAAGTGTCAAATCTGTAGATGTCATCAGGTTCACCGAAACATCCCTCAGGTCAAAGTTCAAAGGCTGTACCCATGTACGACCTAAAAGATTGGAACCATTACCCTTGGCTATGGAAATCGGTAAGGAGTAAGATCTCTCCTCGTAAGATACTTCCACAGTAGTATAACCATTCAAATCTACTTCCTGTCCTGTATAACTTTGCAGGGATACTTGCGATGTGTACAATGTCGATGACTGAAGGCCAATTCTTTGAGCCGTCTGCTCATTCACAATGGTCACTGGACATCCCGTGTCAACTTCAAACGTCACTGGTGTGCCATTAACATCCACTGTAATGTAGTAGGGGTTTGGGTAGTTTGGATCACCTTTAGCAGAAGGCTGAGAACTAACATGAAATAGCAACAAGTCTTCCACACTAGCACTGCTGTTACCTGGGCCACACTAGTTCACCTCACTCACTACAGCATTCACTTTCTGTCTTCCCTTGAATTTAGCCTTAGAATTCTGTTTCTGCGGAATTGATTCTTCTGACCTGCAGAAGCTCACAATATGGCCACGTTTTCCACACTTATGACACTTCTCATTCATATAAAAATACATGTGTGGAGCATGAGTAGTTTTTCCACATCTAAAACAAGGTTTGTTATTTCCGGATCCAACATGAGGCCTCTGGTCTTTGGTACATTGTGCTGATGGCTTGCTGCGAAACTTGTGTACTGAATGGCCCACAATTTTATCACCGTGAAGATCCTGTAGATTCTTGTCTGCCGCCTCAATTGCGTTAGCAATTTTCAATGCACTACTAAATGTTAGAGCAGTCTCTGACAACAACTTTTTCTGAATATTGTCATCACAAATACCACACACTAACCTGTCTCTCAACATGGCCTGTACAGACGTTCCAAAATCACACCCGTCAGTCAATTTTCTCAATTCCGCGACATAGGCAGCTACACTTTTACCAGCCTTCCTATTCCGTGAATGAAATTTAAATCTCGGTACAATTTCCGATGGTTTTGGCGTGAAATGTTCTTTCAATAAAACCACCAGCTGGTCAAACGTTTTCTCGCTAGGTTTCACGGGCTGAACCAATGCTCTTATCAACTGGTAAGTTTCAGTTCCACATGACGCTAACAGTATGCTTTTCTGATTGTCTTCGTCTGTAATTCCGTTTGCCACGAAAACATGTGTCAGTATCTCACACCATTCCTACCATGTCGACTTCTTTGGATTAAATTCAAACAATCCGAAAACTAAACCCGTGGTAGCCATAATCTCTGAGCTGAAGATAGTGACGGTTATAATGCCTCAAGAAGAGCGAAACAAAAGTCAATGTTCATCTATACCGCTTCTCCTACTTCACACTGACGGGTGAAACAAAGGTCAGCAGACCACGTGCTCTTGGCTAACACACTCGTCGCAACGAACACACCTCGTCAATGTACCGTCAAACAGCCAGATAAACGTACAAAAGTTCCTTTACATATACTTCATAGCTACCTTGGATCCCATCCTCGTCGCAAAAATGTTGGGTTCTTAGGGAGGAACGACAAACGCGGGAGTAGGGAGACGAGCCTGCCACTTGACCGGCTGTTTATTCAGACTGTCGCATGTTACATAAGAGCACGTGATTGCGCTTACCTGCAACTAATCACATAACAAGAGCGGACATCTGTTGGCCTGTCATAATATTATACACTAGCTAGTTTAAAACTACTGCGTTTCAATTACAGATATTACATCTCCGATCGATGTGTTCTCTAGAGAAGCCTCCTGAAGAACGACGGCAGCTATTGTTGCTATAGCTCTGTCACAAGTTGATGCCATTGTACACGATCTAAATGAAAAAAAATAGTTTGCAACATTATTAAATATTTCGATGCCATGGTTAATTTTCATGAAATAATAAATGGCATTTTTCACGCATTCTAATTAAATTATCTAAGCAATCCATGATTGCTGTAAAAGGCGACTATGCTTATCGTAAGAGGTGACTAACGGTATCGTGTGGTCAGGCTCGGTGACTTGGCTGGAATATTGCAGAACAAAACAAACAAACAATAACAAGTGTCATCATATATGAGTAACTAATAAAGCAGCGGGGTATTGTACGTTGTTCGATGATGAAAGGACAGACACATCCACGACCTCAGACACAGAGGCGACACACGTCACTGGGCCCTCAGCGTAAACCTGTTGGCACTATATATAGAAGGGGAAAACCAGAAAGCAGGTAATTACAGCTCAGGATTTCCCTACACTAGCAGCAACATGGATCTATATAATGAAACGTGTCACGAAGTCTCGCTGTATAGTAGCATCATGTTTACACAATGCAGATTCACGAATAACAAATAACTTCAGCAGATTTTTTAATGTCACGTATTAGTTTATGATTAGAGTAAACATATAAACATTACGTACTCGTCCTGGTGACAGCAGCCAGTGTCTTACCGGGATACGTCCCACGAGTGATATGTGTTTCCTTCTTTGCGAGCAGCTTGACGACTAAACTAGTTCGTCAGTTGCAATGCGCAATCTCTTACCTAAGTGGACGTCCGGATGCGCACATGCCCTTTCCCGCGTGAGCCTGAACGGAAAGTGGAGGATTTACCGACTGTATGAATGGAATTGATCGATTAACAGTGAGTTAGTGAATGCAATATGTGAAAACCTGCATTCCTAACATGATTAATGCTTAGAGACAGGCTATTCACCATCTGCACGTCCTGAAACAGTGGAATTGTTCGGCTCCTTACACAATAAAGATATTGCATTAAGATTGACTGGTCCTGACTCGACTTTTTTCAGACGACCGTCATGTAGGTGAAATATTTTGAGCGCGGCGTTAAAGGACAAACAAACAGACAAACACCACGGTGTGTCAATCTCGAAAATGAATATCACGACAATTCAAACATTCGAGAATCAGCATCCAAAATAGAAACTCTACAGGGGCTCGCTGCTGCCTCATCAGTGACACCCATAGAGGTTCCTTTACAATAAATATGTCGTTTTATTTGGTAACTGAAAATATCATTCACGTGAGAAAATAGTTCTAACAAACCTTTGAGTAAGTTACCCAAACGCCCCGTTAATTTATCAAGAGGGCGTCCGAGAGGAGGGAGCTCGTGCACGTCCTCACCACAATGGCGGGGTAGGTGTCCGGGATTCTGCAATCTACCCCAGGGAAACTTTGCATGCAAATCTTTCTATCTTCTTACTTGACACAATCACACTCTCATAAAGAACGTACGGTTTTATTCCCAGTAGATCATCGTTTTGTCCCTTCACGAACATCCAAGTAACTGTACATTTGTAACACATAATTTACAGTGGAAAGAGTGACGTCACAACTGCGTATTAATTTAGTGACACATCTTGGACGGACATATTTTAATTAAGTTAAGGTTCAGAAATATATATCAAGTATACTAACATTAACAAAAATGCTCATAAAATATTACTTCAGATATAAATATAAAATAACTTGCTATGCTTTCTATGATTCTTTGGTTTGAAAACTTCCCAATGGTCCAAGTATAACTGGACAAGGCATCTTGCAGGATGCTGCCTCGTAGGGAAGACATGTACAATCTTCTCTTTCACTTTCCCGCTTTGGATTCCTCCCTGGATACTTTTAGACACATCTTCCATTTAACGGACGATGCTATCGTCATTTCCTGGCTTCATCAATTAAGAAAATTGTGAATTGCTCCATCATAAATTACGGTGTTCCACCCAAGCTCTGAACGCTAAATTTAGACCCACCGCTTAAACTAAGGTATCCAATAAACGTGATAGGATATGCGCAGAAGATAATCTTCTCTGGGGGTTTAAGAGGATTAAAATAATTGCAGCTAACATCAAGCACTGTAATAAAATATTGAAATTATAGCATACCGTTCTTCTTAACATTCCAATGAAAAGAATAGTGACTAACTAAGAAACCAAATTATATGTATCTCCGATACTATGCCCTCATCAGTATACACACACACACATACATACATACATACATACACACAAACATACATATATGCACACACACACACACACACATACATACATACATAAACACACATATACACACCAACACACACACATACATACAAACACTATACACACATAAGTAGGTATGTATGTGTGTGTTTGTGTATGTATGTATGTATGTATGTATGTATGTATGTATGTATGTATGTATGTATGTATGTATTTATGGATGTACGTATGTATGCCAGTAAATACGACCTCTATATGTCATTGGTATCAGATCTATGACTGCACTTCTACATATAGTTCCAAGTGAAAGATGAGTGACACTACTTAGTGAAAGGTCCCACAAAAAAGCTGATATGAGCAATTAAAGGTTATACAAAATGTAACAAATGAACAAAGTAAGATATTTTAAAAGATAAAATAGAAACACAAACCTGTAGATATACGAATTAGAATGTAGCAAATACATTAGATAAACGTATCTTCTACGTAGATAAAAGTATGTCCAACGAAGACATAAGTATTTTCTTCGTAGATAATACGTTTTTCATTTTTTATCACTAATTTGAGACGGACAATTATCCCCTGAAAGCATAACCTCCTCTGGGGGTTTAAGGGGATTAAAGTAATTCCAACAAACAACAAGCACTGTAATGAAATTACAAAAAAACTTTGTTAAATTTCGGATGAAAAGACTAGTAACTATCTAAGAAACCAAATCATACTGTTGCTGCGATACTTGGGCCTCATCAGCACACACACACACACACACACACACACACACACACACACACTCACTGCCGGGCAAAAGTAAGTATACACCCATGTTTGATGGTGGTTAAAAATGAAACAAACAAGAAATGGTAATTCAAAGGAGATATATTTGCTTCGGGTATCTTAGCCGATACTACATGACGTGCACATGACGTCTTAAGGAACACGGGGATCGCAATTACACTGTAAACAAGACTGATATAAGAATGGCAGGCATTTCTTTTGCCCGGTTATATATATATATATATATATATATATATATATATATATATATATATATATATATATATATATATATATATACGTACGTACGTACGTACGTACATACATACATACATACATACATACATACATACATATATACATACATATATATATCCTGGGATATTCTAATATTCTAATATATTTGATACTGTAGAGCAGTAATGAATAGTTCCCTAGACAGAAAACATGATCTATGAAACGGTTTCTGGTAGTTCGTAACACTATTTGGACGACATCAATCTCATTAAAATCAGATCTTAGTTCTCGCTACCGCTAAACAAAGATCTGAGGACATCCCATTACGGGTCACGTCAGACCGACCTTGCTCGAACTTGGACCAACAAAAGGAATGACCAATCAGAAGGCAGCTTACAGCACAAATTTCAAATTGGCGACTACGCTTCGAAACATTTTTTGACAAATTCTCGATTACAAATTTGAACAAAAAAACATTCTGGAATGGCTAATAGATGGTCTAGATTGTAATGATTCAGTCGTTAAACTCGTTACTATCGTTCTGAATACCCCGTGTTAAAGTTTTAGAGATTGCATGATTAGAAATCACATTCCGACTGTCACTTTCATAATCTAGTAAGCGACGCACTGATTGGTCTGATGAAAGGTCGTTCTGACGTGACCCCTAATTGGATGTCCTCAGATCTTTGTTTAGCGGTAGCGAGAACTAAGGTCCTATTTTTAATCAGATTGGGACTACATCCACCTCGTGTCTGCAATCCGACTGTCCCCTCTTTCTGGTAAGTTACATCATGTCAAGAGGTCTTTGTGTGTCAAGGACTTAAGAAAATCAGATGATGCCCGATGCTGAAGAACCGTGTTCACAGATGACCGACTTGGTATTTTTCTGCACTGACAGAAACTGGATATACTGACACACAGCTAGTATAGATATTTAAATAACCCCTGATCAAATAGATGCCCTTCGTTAATCTCTGTGTGGAGTACCGTATATACCTGTGATCACGATACGGTGGCGATGCTGATGCTGATGGTGGTGGTGATGATAATGATGGTGACGACGATGATGATGGTGATGATATGCTGATATCCTTGCATTTTACAGTGGTGATAAACATTATCTGTGATTGCAAACTTTAACCTTTGAAAAATGAAAACACATATAGTTGATCATATCATCAAGGCCGCTGGCGTTGCCTAGTGGTAAACGCGTTCGCTCCTCATGCCGAAAGTCCAGGTTCGATTCTCTGCATATCATAGGCAAAATGTGGGAATCCCCCGCCGTGATACTGCTGGAATATTGCTAAGGCGGCGTAAAATCCGACTCACTCACAAACTCTCACTTACTGTGCCATTGCTAACCAAGGTTCTGCAGATGGCACCGGAGTAAGTCAAGATTCAACTCTCGGTTGGTCTTCTTCCATTATATCTCACTAGTTGGCGCTACTGGCCTCGCTAGGTCGTTCATTCATCCACAGGGTTGTGTGCATGAATGGCGACACTTTCTTAAAGCGGTTGTCAAGTAGGGGTTTATGTCATGAAAAGGGGACCTCAACCGATTCCAGCAGTCCTGCTTTAATCTGATCCATTGACCGAAGTTTGTGGCTCTTTGTACAGGGGTTGCAATGGGCTATTCATGACATATCACAGGCTTTTACGGATTGTGAATCGGCCTCGCGATGTCTAATCCGTTGTCCTCGCATAAATATTAACATATTTTCGAGATCTGTCTGAATGAATAGCGTGACAACATTCAAGAAGTACGTTAACGGTTATGTGAAATATTAGAATGATTCCTCCACAGAAGCCAAATCTTTAAGTTGTTTCATTCTTCGGTAGCATTTTCAATAAATGTTGTTCACGAGAGGTTCCTGATACATTAATCGAGATAACGCTATCCGCATGGATGACTCCAATAAACAACCAATAAAACAATCGATCAACTTCATAAAACAATACAATCAATATAACAAGTAAAGCAATCAATAAAACAAGTCAATCAGCTAACTTAATCAATCTACCAATCAATTAACTCAAACAATTTATCAATAAAACAATCAATCGTGCTTTCTAAATGCAAGAAAATGGAAATCGAGTGACGGATGCTTGACTCATTGTAAGTCTTTATACGCCATTGTATCGTTGCTAGTGGTACCAGTTACCAGTTTGGGCAAGACGAAGCATTGACGAAGCAAAGAGTTTAATAAGACGTCTCCTTGAGGGAGACTGGTATCACACCTGTGATCCCTGGCGATAAGAAATATGGCATTGCATAATAGGTCTTCAGGAACCCATGCTTGCCATAGAAGGCGACAATGCTTGTCGTAAAAGGCGACTAACGGGATCGGGTGGTCAGGTTCGATGACTAGATTGATGAATGTCATCGTATCCCAATTGCGTGGATCGATGCTCATGACATCAATCACAAGATTGTCTGTCCAGACGCGATATTTTCAGACCGCAGTTACCAATCCCTGAATTGAGAAGACTTGCGTTACGAA